TTTTAGGCACAATTCTAGTCATATGCAACACGCGTTCGAGCCACGTCTGCATGTTCAACACGTGTTCAATGCCACGTGTGGTCAACCTCATAAATAAATAAATAAATTCCTCCTAAGATAACCAATCAGAGACCGACTAGTTAGCCACAATAACATCAGTAAACCTCCAATATTTAATGCATATCTTTTAGTATTTTCTTTTTTGTAACATCTTGTTTACTAGCATGCCATTAACATTTTTAACCACTTGTAAAATTTGTACGGTATGATATCAATTGACATCTAATAAATTTTTCAAGGCACTTAACACAAGATGAGGTTTTACTATCTTAGGTTTGGCGTGAGTTGGGCTCTTGATATACTCGACTTGCTTAAGCCCCTTACCTACACACAAGTGAGGGGGTTAGCATTGTCGTGTGAACAAGTTGTGTCAAGCCAAACACCAAAAGGACCAAAACTTAGGAAGCACAAATATAGATATGGGACACAGGTACGATGCAATACCGACACGACGATATATACAACATTTCTATATATAAAAAAGTATAGGAAACGAATATCACATGGATATTTCAAAATTTATAATATTATATTATATATTAAATAACTTTTTATTCATGAAAAAATAAATAATTTTTTGTTATTTTATTCGTATAATCTTGAAAGAAATCACTAATTTGTCTTAGAACTAAATATTTGTTATCTTTGTTTTCAAAAATTTATATTATTTTTTAATTAACTCATAATATATTGTAAATTGAATTGAATCCCATTCTTCTAAAAATCAATAATTATAAAATCACTCCTCCATGCCCTGAAAGTGAACGAAATGTGTCATTACTATGTCTCAGTCGTGTTAAAGCAAAAATAAAACAATATTTCGAGCCATGTCTGCATGTTCGACACGTGTTGAATGCAACACGTGGTCAACCTTATAAAAAAAAGGTCCTTCTAAGGTAACCAATCAGAGACGCGACTATCTAATGACAATGGCACTAGCAAAACTCCAATATTTAATGCATATCTTTTAGCAATTTCTTTTTTTTGTAACATCTTGTTTACTAGCATGTCATTAACATTTTTAACAACTTGTAAAATTTGTGTGGTGTGACATCAACTGACATCTAATAAATATTTAAAAACCCTTAACACAAGATGAGGTGTTACTATCTTAGGTTTAGTGCGAGCCCCCACTATAATACCCTTAATTTTGAAAGGATAATCTCAGTATTTTTTCTTTTATGATTTTTGTGCATTTTTAAATTTATTACTTGATTATTTGACTATTTGTTTAAATTGTTAATTGTTTACTTGTTTAAATTGAGTTACTTGTTTATTTGAAATTATATGTTTATGTGGCTGTTAGTTGTTAATTAATTATTTAAATTAAATGTTTTGTTTTGTTTTATTTTAATGGAGTTGGGCTTGGACAGTAGTAATGGACCGACCGTTTGGGTCGCATGGACTACTTGGATATGAGGTTGAATTGGTACAACTAATTACCCATGGATAATGATACATATATATATGGGTATATATGTATATAGGGTTATTGTATTTATTAACTATCGTTAGCAATTAATATTAATAATAACTCTAAGTCAAATATATATATATATATATATATATATATATATATATATATTTTATATAGTTATAATATTATATAGAATATATATAGGTATATTTACGGTAGTTCTTTTTAGTCGTATTATTTGTAGCTTAATATGTTTTAGTTTCATTTTCTATTTTGTTTTCTTTTCCCTTAAGGTAGCAGACTTGGAATCCGTATAGGACTAGGTTAAATTGTGTAAAACCTATATATACATGTTATTAGGATCTGTAAAAGGGGGCTGGATTGTATACGTAATATATATTTCATATAGAGAGAGAAGAAAGAGAGAACCGTGAGGAGAGAAAGGAGAACTCGGCCGAAGCTCAAGGCTGAACCAAGGGAATAAGGAACGAGGTTTGTTTGTGGGTTGGAATTAGAGCAGTGGGAGGTTTGACGGCAATCAGAAGTCGCCGAAAAATCTAGGAAGACGGCAGCGAGATTTTAATCTGAAATCTCAAAGGCAAGTTCCATATCTTTCTCCTTCCCGTTGACCTGTGTTTTGTGCATGCCTAAATAGTCTCCAGGATTAAATTAGACTTTAAAACTGAACTTGTATGCATATTGATTCAGAATTTTAACTGTATTCTATGTAGTTGCTGGAAGTTGTTTTATCTTATCAATTGGGTCATCTTTTGTATTTTAAATTGTTGTTAATGATGCATACTGTATTGTTATAAGTTTCTGGGGTTATTTGGGACTTAGTTAGGACGGTTAGAGGTCTTAACAGAGAGGTTCGGAATGATTGGAAGTCACCGGAGCTTCGGACCACAGATGGCTTCGGACCACTGATGGCTTCGGACGTATGACTTCAGACACATGGATTCGGACGGATGGCTTCGTATCACGGATGTTTTGGTATCTAGAACTGTTTTGGGTTAATGGAAGGGGATTCTGAATAATATTTCCTGATATATTAAAACCCAATAATGCATAATTTAGTCTATATGCTAATGAATTGCACAACATGAAATTTTAAACAAATTTGCATGTTGTTAATGGATATAGAGGATGTAATTGCTTAATATTTTTAGCAATTTAAATGACTATGCCATGAATTTTAAATCGGGTATTGGATGCATAATATGGTCATATATATATCAGATTTTTATTATACTTATTTTGGATTATGATTGATGAACTATTTATATATGTTCTGTCGATTATATGGATTTTGTGGATTGTATGCACCGGTATGGAACGTGGCATATTAGGGACGGATTAGTTCAAAATACTAAGTCCTACCTACTTTGGAATAAGGGAATTGATTAACTATAACGTTACATCCTACTTATATTTCGTGTCAAGGCAATGAATAGTTAAGCGGCACTACCTTGGTTTTGGATGGGTTTATATACATATATATATATGTTTATGGTACCACGATATCAGTTTAAGTCTCAGGATCGATGGTTAAGGAACGTATATGCAGTAGGATGCATAACTGGCTATAATGGTAGAGGTGTACCCTGTTAGGTCTAGGTACTCATGCCCACTTTAGGTGCATTTTGTATGTTGGCTACTAGTCAGGTTGAAACCGCTTTGTAGTCCAGTGAAAGTCTCGTAGTGTGGATATATATATTTATGGACTAAATAAATATTATTGAGTTATCTAGGACATGTCTGCGTATTGGGTCTCTATTTGGATTGTAGTTGAAGTAGAACTTGTTCATGGACCTGACCCACTTTTATCTATTTCAGGTGTTCGACAGTTTCAAGCTTAGAGCTTATTCATGCTGAGTAGAGACAGTCACTCACTCCTCCGACGACGTAGGATTTCTCTTTATACTTTAGTTTTTGGATTTTCTTTCAGTTCAGTTTCTCTGTTCTCCAGTTGGGATTTTATTAGGGGCCCACTAGATGGATTCCCGAGTTGTAATAATATTGGAGGTTTGGATTAGAGTATTATTTTTTGAGGATTTATTATTTAGATTCTTTTCACCTTAATTACTTATTCTTTATTTTCTTATTGTATTCTATGCTTATTAAATATTAATTGTTTGGTATCCCTCGGGTCTATACTCGGACTTGATCACCCGTGACTCTAGAATCGAGGGGTATCACACCCACTCTTGATATACTCAACTTGCTTAAGCCCCGTTCCTACACATAAGCGAAGAGGCTAGCTGTAACGGGTGAGCGTTTGCCCATTTACCCAAAAGCTCGAACTATTGGGTAATGCTGCATACCCACCCATTTATACCCAATCACTTTCCCATCCGATTTCGATGTAGGACAAATGACCCTTGTTGCATTCTCCCCCACCTAAATTCGTAACGTCCTCGTTGCAGCTCGGGCTACCCTGCCTACCCGGGGTGCTCATCCGGACGCCTTCCGGGCCGAGCACTTGGTGTGACACCGAATTAAGGATTGGGTCTGGCTCTGATACCAACTGTAACGGGTGGGCGCTTGCCCATTTACCCAAAAACTCCAACTCCTGGGTAGTGCTGCATACCCACCCATTTATACACAATCACTTTCCCATCCAATTCCGATGTAGGACAAATGACCCTTCTTGCATTAGCATTGTAGCATGAACTGTAAACAAGTCATGTAAAGCCAAACACCAAAAGGACAAAAACTTAAAGAAACACAAATACAGACACAGGATACGGATACATACTATACGATATCGACACGACGATATGACAAATCTAATTTAAAAAAATGACACGAATACACCATTGATATGTCAAAAATAATAATATTATATTATATATATATATATATAATAATTTTTTATTCGTGAAAAATAATAATATTTTTTTGTTATTTTATCCATAAAATCTTAACTAAAATCATTAATTTGTCTTAGAGCTAAACATATGTTATTTAAAAAAATTATATTATTATTTTTAATTAACTCATAATATGTTTAAAATTGCATTGAGTCTCATTCTCCTAAAAAATCGAGAATTACAAAATCATCGTGCCATATCTTGAAAATAAACAAAATGTGTTCTTATTACTATATCTTAATCGTGTTCAACAAAAAAATAAAATAATATTAATGTTCAAACCATGTCGATACGTGTCCGTCCGATACGGACTGTCACGCAAGTCTCAGTGTGAAAAGTGTCCGTGCTTTGTAGATCAAAACCCATCTGAACACATGAAAAAAAATTATTAAAAAAAAATAGACAAAAAATTAAAATTAAAATAAAAATAAAAATAAAAAGAAGAGAAGACACCTGTTTTCACGCGCCCACTAAGAGATTGGGACTTGGGTCCCTCAATATCTTAAAGAAGGTCCTCCCCTAAAACAAATTAGGGTTTCACGTGTGTTTGTCAACCTTTTTGTCGGTCAAAATGGTTTCGCAAGGCAAAACATTTTCTAATATATAATATATATTACACACACGTATGTGTGTGTGTGTATATATATATATTACCATCCATGAAAAAGAAAAAAGAAAACATTAATAAAAGGACTGTTTGGTCTACTCCTACCACTGCTAGCCCTTTCTGCGTTTACATTTAAAAAATATAATAATTAACGGATTGGATAGAATCTCTATAAAGACTCTTTCTCGTGCTTTCAATCCAAATCCCCTCTTCCTTTCCCTCTCTCCCTTCTCTCTCCTCTTTCTCTCTCTAGCATTTCCTCCACCTCTCCTGCCTGCACATGAGATGGAGCTGGGTTTAAGCTTAGGAGATGCATCAAAACCATTTGGGTTTTTGTCAAAAGATCATACAGAGATCAAATCCAGCAACAACAATAACACTCTAGGGTTTTGCATGGCTCTGGGAATCACATCATCAAATGGAAGACAAGAACAGGAGAGAGAAAAAACCCACCACCACCACCATCATCATCAATCAGAAAGAAATGGTACTGATCAGACGGTCTCTGTTGATCCACCTGTTCAGCTGAATCTCCTCCCTCTCTCTCCTGTTCCTCGTCACTCACCTTCTTACCATCAGTCCTTCCCATGGCCTTCTGATAACGGTAATATATATATTATACTACGTATATATTCACACACACTATATATGTATATATAGGTGTATATATAGATATAGTTTTCTGGGTTTGAATTAATTTGTTTTTTTTGTGGGGTTTTGATAGGGAGTTCAGATGGGGGTTCATCGGGAAACATGGGGGCGAGGGGCTTCGACGTGAACGTGACGCCGCGGCCGGCTGCGGTGGCGGAGGTGGAGGAAGGGGCGGCGGCGTCGTCCCCGAACAGTGCGGCGTCGTCGTTTCAGATGGATTTCTGCATTTATAGAGGCGGCGGATCAGATGGTGGTGGAAACAAGAGGGACTCATCGGAGGCGGCGGCGGGAAACGACGTCGTCGACGAGGACGAGAACGGCCTGACTAGGAAGAAACTCAGACTCTCCAAGGAACAGTCGGCTTATCTCGAAGACAGCTTCAAAGAACACAACACTCTGAATCCCGTAAGTATTAATCAATTATAGAGACAGAAATATATATATATATATGGAGAGAGAAAAATCTCGTCAAAGTTTTTTTAAATTCTGTTTTTGATAGTTTGTTTATGTTGCAGAAACAAAAGCTTGCACTTGCAAAACAGCTCAATCTTCGTCCTCGCCAAGTTGAAGTTTGGTTTCAGAACAGAAGGGCAAGGTATATATATATATACACAAATTTTATTTGTTTGTCTATATATATCTGCATACATATATTTATATATCTATATGTGTCCGTGTGAGTATCTACATCTAATATTTATAAATATATTAACATAAACATGATGCATCGGTTTTTTTTTTTTCCTATGTGAATATCTACATGTAATATTTATATCTATTTCTATGTGTGTGTCATTAACATAGTTATGGAATATGTAGGATTTTTTTATTTTTAGGTACCCAACATATGTATTTATTTATGTGTGTGATTATGTGAATATATAAAGGTATATATTAGTATATGTGTGTTATTAATATAAATATGTTTTATATTACTATTTTGAAATGGTTTTTTTAATTAGATTTTGGTAAAGTTGATTATATTAATCTGTGTGTGCGTTTATATATATACAGGACAAAGTTGAAGCAAACGGAGGTGGATTGTGAGTACTTGAAGAGGTGTTGTGAGACACTAACGGAGGAGAACAGAAGGTTGCAAAAGGAACTCCAAGAGTTGAGAGCTTTGAAAACTACTTCCAACCCATTCTACATGCAACTCCCAGCCACCACACTCACCATGTGCCCCTCCTGTGAGCGTGTAGCCACCACCAGCACCGCCGCCGCCGCCGCGGCGAAAACCGCCAACGAACCCACCTCCACCAAACCCACTCATCCCTTTCCCCTCTCCAGACCTAGGTTCTACCCATTCTCTCACCCCCAACCCAATCCCCCCACTTCATCATGAATGATTAAAGGGTTCTGTAAATACTCAAGCTTTGGGTGTTTGTTGTTGGATGATCAAAAATGGTGGTTTGAAAATTTGTTTGGATAGCTAGAATTTAGATGGACAGTTACATAGATTACTAGGTCACAATTAATTGATGATTTCTCCCATATTTTTCATCATTTTCTTGGAATGTAAAGTTGGGAGAAAATACAGGAATTTTGGTTTAGTTTTATGTTTGATTAATTATTATAAATATATGTTTGTTGTTTGTAATTAAATTAAGGTTTGTTTGTCCTTGGTTCAAGCCATAAACATATGCTTTTAAGAAAAGGAGCAAAACTTGTGACTTGTGTGGGGTCCATGCTAATTTTCAATGATTTCATTCAAACCACATTGATGAGGAGGCGGGGGGGGGGGGGGGGGGGGGGGTAGGGGGGGTTTAATTTCATGGAAGGGAAAAGGTGGGGGCTAACAAATATTGAATTGGGACAAAGAAGTCATATTAATGAATCTGTCTGGTAAAGTTGGTACCCATCAACAACAATTACAACACCCTCCAATTATGAGTACACACCAATCAAGTACACAGATCATAATGAATGCTAACGTTGCAAGGCACGTGAGTTCTCACGAGATATCAGTGCTTTTTTTTAATAATAATAAATAAAGAGAGCTAATATTTTTTTGCTCACCTTTGACCAAATGCGATCCATGTGAACTGACACAAGTGCCCCCCTAATTCATGAATAGAAAAACCAAGTCTAAGGAAGAATGTTTGTCACATGAATTGAGTGCATTTATCATCTCTAAATAAAATGTCAACAATCATTTTGAGATTCTAACACTATTGTAATATCTTACATTAAAAAAATAATTTTTTAGCTGAGGAGATTAGCTCGCAGACCGTGATTGCATCTTTGATTCCCACGATCAAATAAGAGTCATATTTGTGTTGTATTCTCATTTTAATGATGCTAAAGTGTTGTATTTTAATGTGTGTAGTGCTTTAAAGGCTAAGGGACTATTAAGTTTCTGACCCTTTGATCACGTCAAGTGTGAATTTTACTTAACGCGGTCAAAGGGGATTAAAAATTCAACAATTACATTACTGTAATATTATTAAATCGAAAATGCAATGGTGAATGATGGATTTTGAGCCTATTGACTTCTAATTGCATTAGGAGGAAACAAAAATAAATAAATAAATAAAGTATTGAGGGTGATAGTGAAAAATCCATCAATCTTAAGGGGCTGTTTGGGTTCTGGGAATTCCATAACCAGTTGACCATTAGACTACGGTGAACCTAAAAAGAAAGGTTTTAGACAATTGTCCAAGACTCTCAAGTCATCGCGCACATCATCGAAGTAGTGGTTTGACCAATTGAGCATTGAGAAGATGCAATGGTGGTTCAAACTTCAAGGTTTATCAACTAAAAAAACAAAAAGAAAGGCGTTGGATTCTCCTTATTCTTGCTTTACACTCAAGTTGACATGTTCTTGCTTCAGCTTGGTCCACCACCAAATTTCATAAGTAGTTGCCGTATAAAGTTTTTCATTTGCAATTTATGCGTTCATGATTATATATAATCATGATTATATATAAATCTTGGTAAAAAGTATATATATATATATATATATATATCTCAAAAACATTAATTTTCAACCAGTCAATTTCATCATTTAGTCACTCGTTTATATAAAAATAAAAGAAATAAAAAGGATAAATTGTCAAACTATACATTTAGGATGTCAACAGGTTTTTATGTTCCTTATTCTCATTAAGAATAATGGGCAGTCTTATAAAACTTTTATTAAAATTTTTGTACTAATTTTAATTTTTTAAAAATAACTAATTTTAATTTAAACTAAAATAAAATATCAATTGGATTTTCAATTAAAAATTCTTATACTAATTCAATTGGGTTTCCAATTTAAAATTCTTCTACTAATTTTAATTTTTCTTCTACGTATTATAACTAAAATAACTAATTTTAATTTTAACTAAAATAAAATACCAGTTGGGTTTCCAATTTAAAATTCTATTATCCACTAATTCAATTGAATTTCATATTTAAATTTTTCTACTAATTTTAATATTTTGTTCTACGTATTAAAACTAAAATCTATATACTATTATTAATTAAAACTACAAAGAGTTCCAGTATTTTAGTACACTAGTTTATGTAATAATATTAATAATAATATAGTAGTAGGAAATACGAAAATTCAATAAAAAGAAATTTAATTAGAGAAGGAAATACATAATATTAAAAAATTAAACTATGAAATATAATGAAACGAGATTTAATTAGAGAAGGAAATATATAATACTAAAAATTTTATTTATTTAATTTAATAAAAACAAATCTAATTAGAGAAGGAAATACTATGAATAATATAGTAGTAGAAAATACTAATACTAATAATAATAATAATAATAATAATAATAATATAGTAGTAGAAAATCTATTCAGAGAAGGAAATATATAATATTTAAAATTTAAATTACTGAAATTCAATAAAAGAACATCTAATTGGAGAAAGAAATATATAATATTAAAAAACTTATCTATTTAATTCAATAAAATGAAATCTAATCAGAGGAGAAATACTAGAAAATACTAAAATTTAATAAAATGAAATCTAATTAGAGAAGAATATAAATAAATTATTTCAATAATTACATAACAACAATTCGATATCAAAATATACCAATAAAATCCTAAAGTAAGAATTCTATATTAAAAATTATTTTTATATTTAAATTTTTATAGTTTATTTTAAATTTTTATAATGTTATTTATTTCAATATATAATATGTTTTTATAATATTATATATGCAAAATTATTCTTATATATATATATATATATATATATATATATATTGAGTAGTGATCTCTTACTCCCCATGGAGTAAGAAAATTCTTCCGCACTTTTTATAGTGACTATCAGATTAAATCTAATGGTCACATTCCAAACCTACCTATATCTTTCCTTTTAATACAAAACTACTATCATTATTTCTAGTTTTCAAATTTAATATTTGCCGATACAATTAATTATAACAATAAAAGGTAAGTACTAAAAAAAATAAAAATAATGATAGTATAATAATAACAGTATTAAAGAAAATATTAAGAAAAACAACTCATTTACAAAGGAAATCTGAAATTTAATAGAATAATAGCATGTTTTGTTGTGAATCTCCTCATTGCGTCAAATTTTTATTGTTATTATGGTAGATATATTGTGTGATTTACTATGACAGATGAGTAATTGGAATATGTTTACATCTAGTTAGAATTTGTGACAAAAAGTTAGAGAAAAATAGATTGAATTTATAATATTTAAATAACATGCATTAAGGGAGGTATACAATAATTTAAATTGTAATCTATTAATTTTTTTATGAGTGAAGTGTAGTGCAAATCATAGATTACATTAAATTGATCAAGTAGATTTTATTTTTAATTTTTTATTATTTTTTAGTCGATGTTTCATTGTTTTGTATGTCAATAGTGTAATTTTTAATTTCTTTTTTACACTCAACTTTAGTATCAGGTCATGGATACAATTTTCTAACACTTATAAATTTTTTTTTATAGAAAAAAAAAAATTTCAATTAATGGTGAGACGTGATTTCAAGAGGTAAAGAGATTTCTATTTTTATTTTTTTAATACTTACATTTTATTGTTATAATTAATTGTATTGGTAAATATTAAATTTGGAAACTAAAAATAGTAATAGTAGTTTTGTATTAAAAGGAAAGTTATAGGTGGGTTTAGAATGTGACCATTAGATTTAATCTAATGGTTATTATAAAAAGTGCAAAAGAATTTTCTTGCTCCATGGGGAGCAAGAGATCAGTACTCTATATATATTTATCTGGCCTTTACAATTTTTTTACTTTATAGTTATACACACACTTTCGCTCACATTCATCACGTACATTACACATTTGTTTTACTAGTTGTAATAAATGGAGATATCAAACACAATTGTGAGGGGCTAAGAGATGATATGGATGAAGCAGAAGTAATAGACTAGCCAATGAATTTGTGGTGAAGACATAGATGTTTGTCTCTATGATAAAATTGTGTTGTTATAAGGGTAAATGTGTGAATTCTCTCCCTTAATGTTTAGCTTAAGGGTTATATTTATAGTCCTAGGTTCCCAAGGTAATACCTAATGAACTCAACTCTACCTGATTTTTGCCTTACACCTAAAGTTATAGGTCATTATCCCTCTAGACGAATGAGAGGTCAAATTCATTACCTTGCCATACCTCAATGTGGCATGACATGTTAAACATTTAATACATGTATTAAATGCATTCGGTTATGCCTAATGATGGTGGTTGAAGTATTAATGATTCTACGGAAAACATTAATGGTGATTGTAAGGGTCTATGTAGCATGTGTTTTATCATCCATTTGGTTAGGCCTATTACTGTGTTAGGCAATTTTTGACTTCTCATTCACCAATTCTGAATCCTCTAAGTGTCCCGTATAATAGTTGTAGGCACACATACGAGACAAATCTACCTTTATCTCATATTACATCATACTCCATACAACTTTGGCTCAAGGTCATGTACAACTATATGTTGGTTCTCAAGGCTTGATAACCTAGTGTGACGCCAGGGTTTATTTTAGACTTGAGGATTTTGTTCTCCATGTTTGATGACCGAGCATGACGTCAGGTTTTTCTTTAGATTGTAAGATTGTATTCTCGAGATTTGATGATCTATCATTAAGTTAGAGTTTTCTTTAGACTCAATGATCATGTTCTCGAAATTTGTTGACCTGACATAACGCCAAAGTTTTTTTCGGATTCGAAAATCATATTCTCGAGGTTTGATAACTGATGTAGTCAAGTTTTATTTTAGACTCAAGAATCATGTTCTCGAGATTTAATGACCTAGTATGAAATTAAGATTTTCTTTTGACCTTTCAACGGGCCACTTAGTTGCTTAGTTTGTTAGCCATGTTGGCAAAGTTTGTTTGACCTTTAAAAGTGTTGAATGTCAAGCACCTTAATTAACCTTGACAAACACATTGAAATAAAGGGGAAAATAAAAGAAAATGTCATTGGAATGAAATAAAACAAAACAGATCCGATCATCTCATGTTCCTGTTCCTCTCTCATTCCGTATGTCCATCTTGTGGATTATTAAACGAACAATACAACACACTATATCACAATATAGTACGCTACATCACATATGCAACTATAATTTAAAATTCATATTACATGCAACATTTACATTTGAAAATGTAACATCAATGC